ATGTGCACAAGGAACTCCCAGCACAAATCCACAGACACCCAATGATCCTAACGAACATATTTCAAATATTTCCTTAAAACTCATTTCTGTTGTGATATCAATTTGCCTTATTAGATCATTAGTTTAATATCAAATGAAATAAACAACATTACACTCATCTTTTGGCTTTTATCATACATGCAGATCGTATGACACCTGCATGATGCCCTATTTTGGAGTGTTTGACTAATGCTTAGGACAGAGTGTTCTACCATAGTACAAATAGATCAAAATGGCTGCAAACCTAGACTCTCAGCGACTCCCATTATCTTAGGTAACATATAAATGATGCACAATAGATGAAAGAGAAATTCACTTTTTAAATCAAACTATAAAATAAATCTGGTCTTCTAAAATAGATACAATGTCTTGAACCAAAGATTATTTCTCCACCTGTGATATCGAAAAAGAAAATATAATCCACTAGTTCCTCTGTGGCAACTGTTTCTGTCAAATTTCAGTCATTTGTTAGGCACATGATAGTCTCCTAATTAGCTTAAACAATGTTTAAAAATATTAAATATTGTATTGGCCAGCAGCTAAGAGATTTTGCAGTTTTCGTATTATCTCCTATGACCATGTGGTGTTACAAACAAGGACTCTCCAGACTTATTCTTTTCCTGTGCAGAAATAGAGGGCAATGAATACAATTAATTCTGTATTCAATATGTGGAAGAGCTGGGCAGAAAGCTACAGCCAACTCCAATTTACTATAATAAATAAAAATTAGTTGGGCACTGCTCAGTGTTTTTTCTTTTGTTAGGACATTTTCATCTTTTTACCATTAGCTACCTACACTGCTACAGTGAGAGCTTCTGCTTTTCAAACCTGTTCTTGCCTTTGTGGCAAAAAAAAATCACTATGTCTTTTTTCACAAGATTAAGCTGAAACCATCAACTTGCTTTGTGCTAAATATGAAATTCAAGAACAAAGAAAGCATTTTAAAAAAAGGACCTTTTATAAAAGGTACCATTAAAAATAGGACTTTTTTCCTCTCTTTAATATGAAGTATATAATTGTGTTCACTAAATAATGATTATGTCTTCTCCAGCTATTGAGAGAAACTTTGGTTCTCTTTTTCTTTTCTGAATTCTGACCTATAAAATGTGTATGTATGTTCAGTCTGAAAGGGATGGCTTAATCCAGTATGGTAACTATTGTAGCAATCTTATCTTTGCAATGTAAGCAGTGGGTCAAATTAACAGCAATAATTCCTTTTGTATTTAATTATTTCATATTTAAAGGGTAACACCCATAAACACACAGTGATAATCCTTGTCCCATTTGTTTTGCAAACCACATAATCACAGTTTGTGATGAAACTACTCACTACAAACTACTAGTATTTTTTCTGTATTTATACTTTTTCCCTATATTCAGACTTGGCCAGGATATCCTCTTAAAATATGCTTTAACAGAGCTTGAATGCTTTAATAGACTATAGACAGGCATTCATACATATATATAATGTATTTAAGTTGTTATAAACATATATTTGGTTTATTCTGAATTCATAGACATGTCCACTGCAAATAAAACTAGTAATCTAAGGAAGTGAGAGTGAAATCATATGCAATCTACTGTAGTGTAAGTGCCCTGTTGCCAAAAAAAAATACACCTTTGTTTTAGTCTTCAATTCAGTTCTCATCTCAAAATTTTATGAAGAGCATAAAAGCATAACAGCAGTTGATGTACCTAGATGCACAGACATACTAAATTATAAAGTTGTCAACAATGAAACTGGGTTTTGATGCAAAACAAAACAAATTCCCCAATGTTTGCTGAGATTATGGTGCATTTACATTAAGCTGTTTGTAAGAGCTGAAGAGGCAAAGTGAATTTTATTGTACTGTAGTTGCATGCTGGTATCAAAGGGAATACTATGTCTGAAAGAAAACTGTCATCATATTCCTATCAGGAATATGGTTTTGAAAATTTTCTTCATTTTATCTCTAAAGTCATTTATTTATCATATCACATATCATATCATATCTTAAATCGTATCGTATCTATCTAGGTTTGTTATCTATCTGTAACTCTGTCTTGCATTCCTAAATGGTGCGCAAATTTTGTCCAGGAAAGAGACAATGATTCAACTATATTTTGCAGGCAGTTAATTTATTTTCATGGTAGGTTAAATGCAGGGCAGCTCAGTTAAAGTGTTTCCTTTACTTTAAGAAAAGTCCCATAGAAATCTAATTAGATTTCTACAGTTGTGTTACATTTGGGAGCCAAGTAGTTTTTAGACAAAACAGGATCTTGCAGCTGAGGCTGTCATTTAGTTCAAGGCGGTACACTTTTTTTCCCCCTGAAATTCAGCGAGTTTAAAGTTGTCTGTTATACAATGCAAAGCAGTTAGTTTGCAGTATAAAATTTTAATTTTGGAAACAGATCTTTTGACCTATTTTTACTACTATTAATTTTAAGCTAATACAATTTTAACTACACCTTTGCATAATGGTAATTCTGCATATTTTAATTAAATTTTGAACTTTCTGAACCATATTTCTTGAGAGAAAAATTATAATCCAATATTAACATTGCTACATAAATGTAAACAATGAAATCCAATTTTAGTTATCTTTGTGATTAGATAATTCAGACACATTTTATGCTGAGTTTCTGCTGTTCCTCCTGAAATTTGAAGGGTAATCCAATTGTAAATGTGTTCACATAAGTTTATCAATGCTTCAGTTTCAGAATTGAAGTTTGAAAATATTGACTTACACTGCCAATTCTTCCTCTTTAAAATTTCCTTCAAAACCAAAGAATCGCTTCATGATAAACCGTTGTTTGTTGTTGTTGTTGTTGTTTTTTTAAATTAAATTACAGTCTTTAAAAATGCAAAACAAAAAGTGCATCCAATTAATTAGCCAGTTAAGGAAGACAGCTGTTCATTCCTGTCATACTAAGGTTTTTAGTCACCAATGTGCACAATGACTCTTAGCTTGCTTTCAAACTCTTTTGGACAGCAGCTCATCAACTGTTTGTCTCATACTTTGTAAAACAGAAACTTTAAATGGTCATGACTTTACAGGACATTTTCAGGTGAAGAAAATAGCTTTTCCATCATTCTAATCTACTGATGTCATGATGTTCTTCTTTTCAGTAGCACATTACAAAACAATTTAGGATGATGTAAACAGTTCTCCTGTCATTCTAATTTACTTATTACACAAGGCTCCTCATTTCAGCAGCTCATTGTCTTGATGAATCACCCAAACGTTAAATGTAAAGGACAATGAATTGTCATTTTGAAATTAATGAAACTTTGTAAAAATAATTTGAAGTGAACTCTGAAAAACAGTCTATAGAATCCAGAAAGTGTCAGCACTTTGAAGTTTATTATAGAATTTATTATTACTTGTTATAGTAACTGGTGCTCTGCATTCTACTGGTATTGCTTTACATTTATGAATAGGAATAAAGGTATCCAAAGGAGCTGATGAAATATTTGTACTGTATTTTTATTTGTACATTTTATTTGTGTAACTATTAAAACATGAGACATTCTCATCTCACCTCAAAATATAGCACGCACTTACAAAGATTTCTTGAATACTGTATTAAGAAAGTTAAGAAGTTATGTAGTGTCAAAACATTTACAAGGTATTTTAAATCAATTTCTTTGAAGGGATCATTGTATGCCATCAGCAAGGTGCTAATTACATAAAAAGGAATGGATGTACAGTCTGGGTGGTTTTTTTCCTTGGGTAGTTAATTTCTAGTCTTCCTAACTGCTGTTGTTACAAAAATAAGTCATGATTCAGCAGAAAATATACCCCTGAGATGATCTTTATCTGCAGTGACTGTTTATTTTACACAGTTTTTAATGTGTAAAACAAATCTGCATATTGATCTAGATGCAAGGAAATAAGAGTAAATTTGTAAACATTCGCAGTTTTCAGCTTCTAAAAATCAATCTATCAATACAAAAAGCTACAACTTTCAAGTGTTCAAAACCTGTAATATCTGTAAACAATGTTGATAAGGTTGATAATTGGGAATTTATAATTTTTACATGTTGTCCTTTAAAAATCTACTTCTACATGAACCGAAAAGCCCCACTGATTTGTAGCAAAATGAAAAATGTAAGTGTAAATGAGTTTACTACTTTTGCTGATACTTTTAAAAGACATTTTTCTTTAAATCTGTGTCAATTTGGAATAAGCACCTGGATTTATATTTCATGCTGATTAACCCATTCTTTTCCAAAGCATGACCACATTCCCACTCTTTAGGTCTTTTAAAGTGAATTGAGATATGGTAAGCATGGTGTGCTTGTAGTGGAATTGATTTTTCTTTGTAAAAGATTTTAAGCTTCTTTAAGAAAATCAAGAAAATAATTAAAGGTTTTCAGTTTGTTTTTTCTTCTGGTTGTTTTTTTTTGTTGTTGTTTTTTTTCTCTAACTAATAAAATCAGGAGACTGTGGTAAGATCTAGCGGCAAGTAGTTTGATGTCCTCAGCAGGACACCAAAAGTCAGAAGCAGTGCTGTAAATTCAGTGTGGGGCTTCGACACTGTGCTAAGTGTGGCCTGAATCTCTGGGGCTTCCCTTTGATGCAAGTGCAGTATATTAACTGGAAAAGCATTCACTTTTATTTGTCTGTACTGTCTGCGACAGCAATATCGCCTCATTTAGGCTAGTTCAACATGAAAATGCACAGAGAAGCAATCTGTTACAAATTAGCACAGCTCCCCTTTCATTTTACTAGCTAGTAATTGGAAGGGGTTACAAAAGTGTAATTTATCAGATTATATGTGTTTATCTTTTTGTGGGGACAGCATGCCTTTGGTGAATTTTCCTATGCACCCTGAGGGAATAATCTTTCCTTGATGCCCATTAGATCTGAAAGAAAACAATGACGCCTGTGAAATATAGGAGTATAATTTGTTGGGTTTGAGAAGGAACAGTTTCCCAGACATCTAAAATGGTACTAATGACTTTATTAGAACCTTACCGTTCCTTGGAAATGCTTTTGCTCTCTCGTTTCCAAATGGTCTTGAAGTCACTGCAGAATTCGTACCACACCGTGAAAACGTAGTTTGGTGTGATCTCCTTCTCACCAGGCTTTGGCTTTAGCCCAAAGTATCCCACTGTTTCTTCAAAGCTACGAGGGAGGGAGGAAAAAAACCTGTCAACATATAAGCCCACTGGGGAGACAGTTTCTCTGAGGGCTGGTTCCTGATCCAGTAGTCAAGGCTGGTAATTACCGTAACTCCTCCTTAGCCTTGGAAATCAGCAGTAATTCATGCTGAGTGTAACTAACCTTCCAACACCTACCTCATTCCCAGGAGGATAACTTACAGATGCATGAACCATCATAGAGATCTGTCACATAGGCAAATCACGGGCATTCAATCTAACTTCTTGCATTTCAGAAAATGCTATATTACATCTATAACTTTATTCTGCAACACTCCATGAAGATCTTACCCCCCCATTTATCTTTATTGAAGGACTATGGAAGAGTCACATGCCAAGCCAGGAAAAAATCTCCAGGCTTGGTCAAAAATAACCTTCAAGTACTTAGGGTGAATTGGAAGCAGCCACAAAAAAGCCACAGACAGTGCCAATAGCCAGTTTGCAAAGATTTTACTGAAAATAAATCATGTCCTTCCACATGTGTCAATAAGCAGATAATTAATTTTATGAAAATATATCGCCAATATTTTCATGCTCTGTATTTTTATTTTGTAATGTGGCTACTGAATTCTATACAGCTGGGTATTTTCAAAGCAGACTTTTCTTATAGACGATACTTCTGATAGTATTTTAATTGATTGTACATTTTTAACCTTTATGATATTGCATTGTATAGACAAAATGGAAAGATTCACATGACTAGGTATTTATCTAAACAAAACAAAAGTATGTTCACTTTTGTAAAGGTTGAATCATTTTTCTCTGCAAAGTAGATGTAACAATCCTGAAAAATTTGGTGATACTTATTAAAAATAACACTGTAATCTAAAAAGAAAGTTAACAACGTATTTCAAAATAACTCATTCTTAAGACATTGATTTTATTTAAGCAAAACAAAGTTATATTCTTCTTTATAGTTGCCAATAGGTCCAAAATCTAGAACACAGGAAGTGTAAATCTTGAAAAGAAAATAAATACGAGGTATTTTACAAACTTGTAAGGAGTCCCCAACTATTCAACAGATGTAGCTTCAGCAAATATTTCTTACTGAACTTATACTTGCATTTGCATAGCCCACATTGCATGTTTTCATACAGAATTGCCAAGGTTAGGGTCAAGGTTTTTTGATGTAGGTTGAGATTCAAGCTTTTAGCTAGGCTTGAAGAATATAAAGTAACCACCAAAAAATACAGAAGTTACCCCAGGAAAATAAAGGAATATATACTTAAGCTGCTTCCCAAAGTAAAGAAGTTTGGATTTTAGCCACACAAGCCAATATGCTCTGGGTTTTTTTGATACTTTTGGATACAGTTTCTAGGACATGCTGAAGAATATCACATATTGCTCAAGGTGAGCTATTGATAGAATAGTTTTTAAAATCCTCTTATATGACAATCTTAACCTTTTACATTTCTTACACAGGTTTTGTATGAAACGTGTAACTCTGTTTCAAGTTAATTGGTAATCCACGGTAATGGAATCACAATGAAATAAGTATGAATAAGCCCATAATATTCAGAGTTGAAGGGTCCTGTAGTAACACTAAAAGGATAAAATCAATAAATAAAGAAAAAATACAGCTTTAAATGTTTATGTAAACCATTCTGGGATTTCAAAATGGTTTTTAGTAGTATTTTAGTCATAAACTTTAGTCATAATCAAATGGTTAAAACAGTTTATGTCTACTGGGCAATGTCATTTCCATTCTATTCACTTGGGTCAAATTTTCCTCAGCTCTTCATACCCCTTGACTGCAATAGCTGAGCCAGGAACAGCAAGACCAGAAACTCTTTTCTCAGGTTTGCTTTATGTAACAGCAGCCCTGGTAGCATCATGTTCTCTTCTTAACAAGATCCTTCTTCTCCACCCCAGCTGTAGCTGATAGAGTTGTCTCTGCAAGCTCCAGGATTCTGAAATCCTGCACACCCTCACTCTGCCTTCACCCTGACACTTACTCCTCATCCCCTCTTCATGTTTCATCTTCAGCCCTTCCCCCTGTAGCATCATTTTGCTTTCACCCAGCTTAATCCAGCTTCCTGCACTGCCTTCTGACATTCAAAAGTAACAGACCTTTTTAGCAGCAATTTAAAATACTGAACCTTTAGTTAGGAATTGAAAAACCCAAACTCTGTATCACACAACTAACTGCTTAAGTCAGTTGCAAATTAAGTGTATCTCCATACTCTGGAGAGTCTACTCTGCTCCAGAAAGGCTACAAAGCGGGTAGAATATGAAAGACCTTGTGCCACAAAAGGTAGGTTTGTAGCTAGGTAGAAAGGGAGCAAGCCAGCCATCCATCCTTGTACAAATGAAATGAAGAGGCAAAGCCCCAGCTGATCTCAGGCAATAAATCAGCCCATTTATGCACCTTCTGCAAGTAAATGGGAACAGTTCACACCTAAGACTTGAACTGCATTTGGGAGGTGCCTCTCTTTTCCTGACTGTCTAAGAAGACTAACCTAGGTGTCTCAGTTAGGTGGAGTGACTCTGGACTCAGAAAAGTAACATAAAAATCCAAATTACCACAGATCTGCCTTTAGTGACCATGAAGAAAAAATATTGATACGAAGTAAAAATTACTTTACCTCTGTTGATTTATGGCAGTTCCATAGCTAACACAAACAAGGTTAAAGGTAGATCCTTGACTCTCACAAAAGTATAGTTTGGTAAACAAAATTTATTAGTAATACTAACTTATTAAATATTTTATATCTATCTATAAATCAATTTATCTCACTTTTCCCCCTATTTTGCCTCTGGCCTAAGTAAGGCACAGATATTCAAGCAATAAAAACATTAGGATTTCACTGGTTTCTTAGTATACTGCATTCAATAGCCTAAGTGCTGAAAACATTCAGTGATGATGAAATAGAGTTTTACTACATTAAGTAGTTAATCAGTTACTACAATATTCTGCAAAACTCCCATTCAGTTCAATGTTGACAGTAATTAAAACCTCAAACACAGTACATTGTTTGGCTAAAAACTCAACTGAACATTTTCCTGGAAGACTACATAAGAACTTTTCAGAAAGCATATTACTTCTTTGAAGTACAAATCCTTTTTCCTATTTAACGTAATTCCTAAGATCAATAACATCTTTGACCAAAATAAACTGCTAGAAAACACTAGTAAAAACCTTACCATTTTTGTGCATTTTCCAAGCTACTCTCTTCTTTTTCACGTTCTTCTTTAGCTGACAATGAAAAACATTTCAAAGATATAAATTACTGCCTTACTGTTTTAGAGATCCCACATATTAAACATTTCTTGCATTCAAAATTGGATGGGTGGTATACTAAATATAAAAAAAGTGATAAATTGCTAATTTTCAATTTTTATTTATTTCTTGTACCTAAATGAATGCTTCTAATGTATCAATAAAGTGTATTGGAATTGAAAAGTCATTTAAAAGCCATACAATAATATATACTGTTAGACATTAATCTGAATAGAAAGCAAATCATTGAACTTGACTTTCAGATTTTTTAAAAAAGAACATTAACTTGTGTATGTTTCTTTCTTGTTGCAGACCAGAACTTATAAATTTAAACCTGTTTTTGCAGCACAAATAATTGGAAATTCAATTGGAATTGAACAGGTACCAAACATAGTTAACACCAACTGTTCCATATAGCTATCACATTTTGTTCAGGAAGCTGGAAAGTGAAAACACATGTACTGTTTTAAATGTATGGTATGTACATGATTTTTTTGAAAAACCAGCCAGGAGTTTGAAATATGGTTAGTGAATCTGTGTCTCTCTGTTACAGAATGCTCACACCAACTACTTAAAAGAATTTGATTTTCAATGGATAGGCATCCGCTACTTCTGAAAATGTTTCCTGAGCTGGATACTCAAGCAAAAGCACAATTTTTTTCACAAAATGTTGATCAGTTATTCTTAATGCAGTGGAGCAACTTCTTCTGTGGCAGAATGCCACACATGTAAAACAATACTAACATGGAAAAGTTATTCCTATTCCATGCTAGAATAATCCTGTAAGTGCAAGTGTTAAATAAACAAAATTCAGACACTTCTTTATACAAAGATAAAAACTGTATTTTTGTGCTGGTTGAAATCCAGTTACAAACTTGAGTTCACAGGCAAGGCCATTGAGAAATTGATCCTGAATGACTCCATTTCATTATAAGGCTACCGACACAGAGGTTTGTACTAAGACAGTTAAAATAATTTAAAAACTGGACTACTTCAGAACATTTGGTGTTAACAAAACAAATTAATTTCAACTCATATGTTTACCTACATTGGGCAAGTGTGTTGGGGATACTTATTCAGATCATTTCAGTATGGCAAAAGCCAGAAACAATGTTGTGCGCCCTTTGCAAGAAAAATTATTAATTCTATATAATTAAATTCTCCACCTCAAATCTTGGTGGCCAGACAGCTGAAATTGAAATAGATAGGGCAGCTTTGATTTATTGCGTTCATCTCAGGCTCCTGAGAAATTCAGCTGAAGTTAACCTACTATACTTAATTCGTTACTTCTACAGCTCTTTCATTTTATATCATTAAAAGTAGAAAATGTAGGTTGGAACTCTGATGGTTCATCATCATACAAAATTAACCACGTACAGAAAAACAAAGATGGTTAAAAGCTGATCTGTGTATAAAATTGTACACTTTATGATTACATTAATAATTTCTTTCTAGTTAAGGAGATGAAAAATTGTTAACAAGGCACATTTCCCAACAAAGCCACATTCACAGCTACAACAGCAACTGAATAGCCTCAGGTCCCTGCACATGAACAAGAACGCAATAACTAACAAGGCAGCATGCTTATACGTTTATAGTTAGGTGACAAGACCTGACTTACTGACTTTTAATCTTGTAAGAACAGAATAAGGGAAGACAGAGGAAAGAAATTTTAATTCATTACAGAAAGTAGAAGAAAGGTGTGACTTCTAGGGAGGAATACACAAAGTTTACATTAATGTAACAGTGTTTGTGTGCCAATACAAGAGAAAAGAGGAAAGAAGAAAATAACTATTATATAACAAAGAGTATTTTCCATATTTTTAACTATAAGCATGGCTGCCAAGGAACTATTTAAAAGCATTTATTTGAAATTAGGATGTTGGGACTTGTTAAGAAAACAAATTAACAACTTTATGCAACAAATTCTAAGTAAACAGGAGTTATAAATACTACATAATGTGTAAACAAGAAACCAGGCCAATTCTCTAATCTTGCATACAATTTCTAAGTAATATTCCACTCAGAATTTGTAATATCCCGCTCTTTTCTCCCCCTCCACAACTTGCAATAACTAACACTATCAATCCTGTCAGTAAAGGTTTCCATGAAACATTGTATTTTCTTTAACAGAGTACTCAAAGCCCCACAGCCAAGATATCAAACCTTGTCTTAATTTGTGGAATTACTGAAGGCAATTAAAATAAATTACATAAATGAAAGAACTTCTTTCTCTTTATTTCTCTGGCAACACTACCTTTTCTCCCTTAAAATTTCCTTTTGCTGAAGTGGGATCATATAATTTTTTCATCCTTAGACCACATGCTTGATTTCAGTTTCCTCGGTTTCCTTAAGATAAGAACGTAGTAACAGCCCTACCAAACTAATTTCCATTAGGAGGAAAGTAAACAGGAAGTCCCACTGCAAATGCACTCCAATACTTAAATAGGCACAAAACAACCAAAATATGCTTGAGCATTCAGACAGCACTGAAACAGAGGTGGAGATGTACACCCCAGATAAATCTAATTCAAAGCTTAAATCTCTACTGTAAACACACTGGCCTCAGCCTCTGCTGCTTCAATCTGCTGATCTGATCTTACTGCACCAAATTATTCCATAATGTAGCAATAGATGTTCGGCATTACATGTATACAGATTACTGCATATCACTTCCATAAACTACATGTGGTATAGAGACACTCTTCTGTCTGGCCTTGGAGTCATAAGGCTTGACCAGCTTTGAAAATTACAGGGAACTGTCAGATGTAAAGTTTGCCATCTGGCCTCAGATCTAAATGCAAGTTCTTAATATGTTCTACTGTTTGGATTAGTCTATATCCTGAATAAAGTATCAGATCCTGTCCTATGACAAGCAATCTTAATCAATATATCTTCTTTGAATACAGATATGAAAGCCAGGATCAATTACAAATTTCTGTGTCTTTCTACGGACAAGGGCTTTGAAAGGAAAACAGGTGTTTACAAAATACGCAGTTCTAATTTGCTGTAAGAATAGTCTTTTGTAATACAGACAGCTATAGACTCTGAAGACCAGCCACTAGTCTTATTCATCTTGCCATCTGTACCTAGCTCAAAGAATAAAGGAATACATGGACTATGGTCTTACGAATTTCTCTTATGAACCTATTTCTGGTTACTTCCTTTTACTGAAATGCAGCAGGAAGCATTTGAAGAGTCATGATCTGGTAACAGTGCTAAAAGGAAAACAGTACTAGAGCCAAATGGTGGAAAAAAACCCCCAACTTATTTCTTCTACATATTCCACTTGCTGAGGATGGAACAGCATGCCAAACACTATTTTCAGAATGAGAAAGAACCAGAAAATATTCATTTTTAATGCATCTAATATATGCATAGTAGCTTCCAGTTACAACAGAACGAAGACCTCTTCGTGCATCAGGCTACTATGAAATAGTTCTCCAAAGAACAAAGGAAAGAAAATATTAAATACTGGCACAGATTGAAAGTTGGAGGTCAGTAACTAATAGAGGCAAGCACAGAATGCTCTAAGAGGGGAGGACAAAGAAGGAAAATGGGTTGACACAACTGCACAAAACTCTCACAGTTACTTCTGCCTCTCTAGTGAAAGTTTTTAACACTTACTGAGTCTGACTAGGAAAAATTTCTGGTATTTCTCTCTGACCTTAATATATGAATGCATGTAAGAAGAATAATTCAGATGAGTCTACTGATCTAGTTGTACCCATCACAGCCGTTTTATTTTTCAGTATCTTACTATTTTCAGAATGCAAAAATCTGATGCATAACTTGTTATAACTTTTCCAAGCATTCCAGAGCAATGATAATCTTCAAAATTATGAGAACAGTCAGACAACTAGCAGTTAGGATGGAGACATCAGAACTCTTAGTTTTATATTCCAAGGCTGAGTTCATGTGGTTCAAAAATGTATGCTTCATGAACTTTTAGAGTCTGGTAAATGATAGGTTTTTCTGTTGGGGAAAAAAAAAACCACCCTAAAACAAGGTATTTGATTTTTTTTGCCCCAAGGAAGGAAATAGGTCTTTTCTGACTCATGTCTTCCATCCAACCACAGTTAAGATTAAGACAGAATCCAGAATAAGGCTTAGATAAAAAAAAAAAAAAAACCCCAAACAATCCTAAAACCAACCAACCAACAGAAAAAACAAAACCACAAAACCCAAAACAAATCCCCTAATGACATCCCTCTCTGAACTTTATAGAGTCTGGACAGGGGCTGCTAGACTAGTGACAAAAGGTTATTATGACATTTTCTAGGCTCACAAGAACTCACCTTCCTTATTAGTCAAGACTAAACCCTCTTAAGTAGTCATGCTGAAAGGTAGTCAAAAGATGAAACCTGTCCTAAAACTAGCCCCTTAATCAAGGGTTGGGAAGAAAAATATATCCCTAGAGAGGTTCAGCTGGGTTATCTTTTCCAAAGTGTCAAACGTCGCATTCTATGACATTACCAAGTAAGGTGAACAAGCAACAACAGACCTTATTTTCTTGGTCTTTTTAAAGGATGAAGACGTATCACCATTCAATAACAGAGATCCAAATCTCTTACAAATTATGCATTGCTTATAGACTTGGATATGAGAAGCTGAACTCAGAAGACTCTACAGCTAAAAGTATACTATATGTATCTCCACCCTAAAGTACAATTGTCATACAAGGGAAATGTTTTAACAACTCTCTTTAATCAGGGACTATGCAGGGACTAGTGGGAGAAAAAACTCAAAGGTGGTCTTCTAGGTGGGTAAAAAGACTAGAGAGGATCATTAAAAGCAATACAGATGTTCTCTGTTTTTGTACAAAATTCTGGACATGCTTAAACTCCTAGACACTATAGCAGTACAAAGAACAGCAGGCTCAACAGTGGGATGAATTCAGTCATCTTTGGTTTTGATTTTGATAGAGCTGTTATCAGTGAATCTTTCCAATAAGACTTAATTTTTAAGAAATCTTT